TCAAGCAGCAAACCATCATCGTAGGTATGAGCTGCTGTGTCGGACTCTTGACTGGGATCACGGAATCTGAGATAGAAGCCTAGCATATGACACTAAGTGCACGCTGTCAGCGCCTTTCCCGCCACCGGGAACACGCCTGCTACATCAATCTTCACTCTACTCGTGACTCTCACATTCAGGCCGGACCGAGATCGAAAGCAAGAAGTATACCTCGTTGCCAGCTGCCCTGATTCGGCCACGCTCGACTAGACTATTCCAGCACCATTTGAGGTGAGTTTCGCTGACTGAAGCAGTCGCAGGAGAGCGCAACCTCCAAGATGCTCAACCAAAGCCTCTATTCTCCACTTTGTATCGCCTGTGTGTCGTATCCGAAAGGTACTTCCTGCCTTTCCTGGCTACGATTCAGCACACGCACATTCTTAGATCAAGCCACACCATCAATTCGACTCCGTGACAATTCGGGGAACCAGTTTAGGCACAAATTGGAAGGCATCTTTATATGATACACCTCCCATTGGTGTTCGTGTCCGGTTAGACGTCCTGCATTTACGAGCATTGGAGGGTCAATTCGTCAAGCAAACAGCACACCGTCACTGAGTGTTGTAGTCAGTCTCTGGTAGATCGAAGCACTGAAAGTGTCATCGCCGTCTTCGTGATTCGCAGACGATCAAAGCCGCCTTGGGTGCCAATTTGCAGGAGAGTGGGGACACATCAATGGTCCAAGTCTACGGGCGCGATGGAGATGGAGGACAAGGGACCAAAGATGCACTCCAAGCAAGATCACCCAGACACGAGCACAGCGGACTCCCACCAACGATGTCAGGCGGAGCCCACACAGCACATCGACCAAATGGAGCTCACACGTTCGTTGCGGTGCATGGCATGACTGGCGAGGCTAGAGTCTTGGGCAGACCTCGCGGAGCTGCTTCGCCCGAGATCCGGAGGAGATCAGTAGCAGTGAGTACAACCAGGGCGGCAAGGAGCGTAAGTGCTCCGTAGTCCGGTGGGTCACTGGTCGCTGCTACTGGTGTAGCGATTTTGGCGTCACAGCTCCTCTTGCCCACGCTATTATTCAGCTCACAGCGATTGCATGCACTGACACAAGCGCTTTCGCATGGCTGCTTGACATTCTAGGCAATGCCCCGCCG